CCCAGAAAAGCCAGCACATACTGGAGAAGAACAAAGTTGGAGGATTGGCATTGCCCGACTTCAGGACTTACTGCAGAGCTATAGTAATCAAGATACTGTGGTGTGGGTGAGAGAATAGGCAAGTAGATGAGTGGAGAATAGAGAGCCCAGAAATAGACCCTCATAAATGAGCAAAGGCAATACGATGGAGAAAAAGTAGTCTTTTCAACACATCATGCTGGGACCACCAGATATCCACATGAAAAAATAAAACCTGACAAGACCTCACATCCTTCACAAAACTTAACTCAGAATAACTCACAGACCCTAAAAGTAAAATGCAAAACTCTAAGACTCCTAGAAGATAACATAGGAGAAAATTTAGATGACTTTGGGTTTGTTGATGACTTCTTAGATACTATAGCATAGGAAATGATCCATGAAGGCAAGAGCTGATAAACTGTGCTTCATTAAAATGGAACGTTTCTTTTCCGCAAAGCACACTGTGAAGTGAATAAAAAGACAAGCCACAGAATGAGAGAAAATATTTGCAGAAGATAAATCTGGTAAAAGGAGTTATCCAAAGTAAACGAAGAACTCCTAAAACTCAACAATAAGAGATTAAAACTGAGCCAAAAGACCTTAACAGACACCTCAGCCAAGAAGATCTGCAGGGACGGCAAGCGTGTGAAAAGACGCTCCATATCCCACGTCATCAGAGAAGTGCAAATTAAAGTGAGATACTACACACGTAGTAGAGTGGCTGCCATCCAGAACCCCGACCCCACCGAATGCTGCCAGGGATGGGGAGCAGCATTGCTGGTGGAAACGCACAGTCGTGGCCACCTTGGTCGTTGTTTTAAAACTAGACGTACTCGAGCCACACGGCCCAGCCATCCTTGCTTTTATTTTTTTTAATTAATTAATTAATTAATTAATTAATTAATTTATGAGAGAGAGAGAGAGAGAGAGGCAGAGACACAGGCAGAGGGAGAAGCAGGCTCCATGCACCGGGAGCCCGACGTGGGATTCGATCCCGGGTCTCCAGGATCGCGCCCTGGGCCAAAGGCAGGCGCCAAACCGCTGCGCCCCCCAGGGATCCCCCATCCTTGCTTTTTATCCAAAGGAGTTGAAAACTTAATGTCCGTACAGAAACCTGCGCACAGCTATTTGTTTATAGCAGTTTTATTGATAACTGACAGAATTCGGAGGCAACCGATGTCGTGTACCTGAAAGGATAAACCGTGGTACATCCAGTCAGTGGAATATTATTCAGTGCTAGAAAGAAATGAGCTATCAAGTCGTAAAAAGACATGGAAAGTACTAACTAAGTCAAAGAAGCCAATTTGAAATGGCTGCATACTGCTTGGCTCCAGCCCTGTGACAGTCTGGAAGGGGCGAATCTTTGGAGGCCGTGGGAAGATCCGCGGTGCCAGGGGTTAGGTGGGAACAGAAGGATGAATAGAGGAGCACAGAGGATTTTTTAGGACGGTAGAAATAACTCCACATGACGCCGTAATAGTGGGTACGCGTCCGTATGCACTTACCAAAGACCCGAAATTAGACTGTGGGGTCTGGACGGGGAAAATGATGTGTCCGGGTAGGTTCATCAGTGGGAATAAATGCATCGCTGTGGTGCGAGGTGTTAATGCGGGAGGCTGTTTGGAGGGGAGCAGGGGGCATGTGAAGAATCTCTGTGTCTTCTTCCCCGTTTTGCTGTGAATTTAAAAATGCTCTAAAAAAAATTAAGCATCAAAAAAAGTTAGGATGATAGATACGTGGGCAGCTGAATGTAAAGAAGTAAGATAGATGGATTTTTATTTTTTTAAAAGATTTTATTTATTTATTTATTCATGAGAATACACAGAGAGGAGAGAGAGAGAGAGGCAGAGACACAGGCAGAGGGAGAAGCAGGCCCCGTGCAGGGAGCCCGACGCGGGACTCGATCCCGGGACCCCAGGATCACAACCTGGGCTGAAGCCAGCGCTAAACCGCTGAGCCACGGGGGCTGCCTAATAGATGGATTTTTTTTTTAATTTTTTCTTTTTTTTTTTTTTTTTAATGATAGTTACACAGAGAGAGAGAGAGGCAGAGACCCAGGCAGAGGGAGAAGCAGGCTCCATGCAGGGAGCCTGACGTGGGACTCGATCCCGGGTCTCCAGGATCGCGCCCTGGGCCGGAGGCCAGCGCTAAACTGCTACGCCACCCAGGGATCCCCCTAATAGATGGATTTTTAAAAGAATGTTTAACGTTTACATTTTGATGCACTGAACTTTGGTTAGACCTAGCAAAATACTCCAAAGTGCAGCCACGCTTACGCACTGTATTGTTTGTGAGTGTTAATAGATAAGAATCTTTTAAAAAGTCAGTTGGGCAGTGTCTATCAAATTTTACATGGTCACACCCTGTGATCCAACAATTCTAGCACTTTATTTCATTGAAATATTGTTAGAGATATAAAAAGGTAAAATGTATTTCATGTAATATTTTTAATAAGGAAAACTGGAAATGTAAGCATTTAGCAGTAGAAGACCGTTACTGCACGTCATCTGCAGGCATTAAAGAGAATGAGGTTGATGAACATGTACTCATGTGGAATGATTCGTGATGTGTTAACAGAAAAAGGCATTGTTAGAATTAGCATTTTTAGTCGGAGAAAGACAGACGCCATGTGATTTTATTCATATGTGGAATTTAAGAAACAAAACAAACGTGCAAAGGAAAAGACCAAACAAACCAAGAAGCAGACTCTTAACTGCAGGGAAGGCAGTGATGGTGACCGAGGGGTGGGGAGGGCCGAGGGAACTGGCGGTGGGGGTGAGGAGGGCGCTTGTGCGGGCAGCGGGTGGTGTGTGCAGGGGCTGAGTCGCTGCACTGCGCTGTACCGTGACCTAACACTGTGTTAGCCATAGCAGAATTTAAATTAAGCGGAATTTTTAAAAGTATTAATATTTTATCACGTCTATTAGTCCAATGATACTTTTTATAGTAGTCACCTCTGAGAAACCATATCACGAGGGACTTTGAGTGCCCGTCTCTCTTACATTTCTTTAAAATAACAGTTTTTCTTTGATCAAGAAAATAAGAAGAAAAAAGGCTGACAAAATGTCCCGAATTTTCTCCATGATCGTGTGTTTCTATTTTCATAGGAAAAGCAAATGAACAAAAAATCCAGTGTACCAGTGCGTTGAACTGGTCATTTTACCGTGTTATGTCAACTGTCGAATGTCGGTTCTAAGCACAGATCCGCGTGCAGTTGTTCCAGTTTGTACCCGCCTTGTCCTCAGAGGCGCGGGGCGAACTTCGGCCCACGCCGGAACCGTCTCAGAGTCGTCAGAGTAACGCATGGACTCTCTGACCTCAGAAAACACTCGTCGAACTAACAGCGGTCTTTTTTTTTTTTTTTTTTAAGATTTTATTTATTTATTCCTGAGAGACCCAGAGGAGGCAGAGACCCAGGCAGGGGGAGAAGGGAGAAGCAGGCCGCCCGCAGGGAGGACTCGATCCCGGGCCCCGGGGGCACGGCCTGGGCCTAGGGCAGCCGCCCCCCCGCCGAGCCCGGCGCCCAGCAGCGGCCTGTGATGGACTCCTCGCCCGTGTGGGGCTCCGTGTGGGGCTCCGTGTGGGGCTCCGTGTGGGGCTCCGGGGCCCGCTGCGCGGCCGGGGGATCGGGTAGCCCCTGCTGGGGCCGCGGCCCGCTCTCCCGCCCCCGGCTCCTCACCGACCGCAGAACGACTTCACTCTTCTTAAAGATTCGCCCGCTCCCTTCGTCGTCGGTCTGACTCCCGAAATAAGCAACGAGCGTGCTGCCACCTCCTAAAGGAGGACGGATAGGGACAGAAGAGGTGACAAGTTGAATAATGTTTGTACCGAGAAAATCTGGGGGAAGAAAATCCATTTTGTAGCCGAGCTTCCTAAGGGGGACCCGGTAGCACAGTGAACACCCGCGGGCCTTGGGCCCCCCGCGGGCCCGCACCGCCTCGCACTCCTCTGTGGCGTCTGCCACAGAAACAACAAAATAAGTGTTTTCTTCTACAGGGTTGCGCTGTATGAGCTCAGTAAATAGCCAGATAGCAATTAAGGAGTGTACACATGTGTCCTCCCACACGCCTTCCTGTAAGGCCTGGAGGAAAGAATCTGGAAGCCTCCGAATGTTTTGAAAAGACTCATTGTTCTGTTTCTAAGCTCGGATGAAGGCATCAATTTATTATCCTCTGCGGCTTCCCTTATGTTTGACGACTTACGGCTTCAGAATATACGGATATTTTGCATCTGAGCTGCTCAAGGACTCACCACCCGGCTGGAGCTTATCAGCACTTGGTCGGCTTCTGCACACACGTCCTTGAGCGATAGCTGCCTCGGCGAAGCACGCACACGCGCTCTCACACCAGCTCACCCACTCACGTTGCGTGTGTCCTCACAAAGAATGTGTGCAGTACGTTACACAGCGACTATTTTTGAGTAGATTTGACGTCCAGATCCATCTCACGCGATTCGGAGGCGCCTTTCACTTACCGTTTGGCTGGTACTTAGCGATGTTACCTTACGAAGACGTTGTGCCCTGTACGGTAGGGACGTAGCGATGACGTAGCGATGCCGGGAGATAGCCTTGCGAAGCTATCGTGAGAAGTAAGTCACTGACACCAGACACAGAACCTTCAGGGTACCTAATCGGCTTCTCCAGGAGAGGATTGCCGTCTCTTTGCAGATGTTTAGCTATAGCAATTTGAATGAGAATTATCTTCAAACTTGACCAGTGTCAAGGCTGACCTGGATCCAGTTTTCTTCTCACGCATACTCAAAAAAAAAACAACCCTCCACTCCAGTGTCACAAGTTATAATTGTATTGGATCATATTTACGATTGTTACTTTTAAAGACGTGCAGAAATGCGGAGCCGATTGGCAAAATACTAGCATTGGCTGTAGTTCTGTGATTACGTGTCTTCGTGCAATCTGGTTTTATCGCCACAGTTACTCAAAGAATTTCTTTTTGCTTCATCTTTTTCTTCTCTTTTCACAGGAGTTTATTTTATCAGAAGATTATAACAAGATGACTCCCGTGAAAAACTATCAAGGTAGGAATGAGAGAACGGTGTTTTTCCCTCGACTTTGAAATGTTCCTTGATGGCTTCACTTTGCACTAGTCGGGGGACCCTCATGAGGTTGGGTGACCTCCCTGTGGGCCTGTAGCTGATAAAGTGCAGAACCAGACCAGGTCGTCGTGACTCCAGAACCTCTAGCTTTTGCCCGTGGTCTCCCTGCTATCCCAACTGCCCCAGAGCCGCGCAGCATGCACAGAGATGGGGGCAGTGTTGGGGTGAGCGACTTTACTTGGGGCTCGTTTCATTTTATGTTGTTTAAGGGAAAGGAATTGCGGTCTCACTGTGTCAACACTGGCAGGGTGCCATAGATGGGTCAGGAGCCATTTTCTGGAATGGTTTCTTCATCCAGATCAATAATGTTATGGGATCTGGGACCCCTGGCTGGCTCCGGGGTTGAGCATCTGCCTTCGGCTCAGGGCGTGACCCTGGGGTCCTGGGATCAAGTCCCACGTCGGGCTCCCCACAGGGAGCCTGCTTCTCCCTCGGCCTGTGTCTCTGCCTCTCTCTCTCTCTCACTCTCTGTGTGTCTCTCATGAATAAATAAATAAAATCTTTAAAAAAAAATAATGTTATGGGATCAGAACATTGGAGGTGGATCTTTTAAGACTTAGAGGTTATTTCATCCACATTTCTTGACTTCCTCCCTCCTGCATGATAATCATCCAGACTCTCTTCTGATACCTCCAGAGACCTACCTAGCAGCCCATCCTGATTTTGTGAAATTTGTAGCATTAAGTCCTTTATTTCTAGATTTTGAGCCAAAGTTCATTTCCCTATGGATTTATTCTTTAATCTTTTTCACATGACACTTACAAGTATTCATTCAGTATGTACTGGGTTCCAGTAATTGAGGATTATAATAGGGAACAAGACATGTATAGTATCTGCCTATAAGCACTTTATGATTATGTGGGGGTTACACGCCGGTAACCAGGTCACTAAAATGTTGTATTATCAATACTAGACTGTTCCCCTGTTGGTGTTCGTTCAGCCTGTTGGAGCCAGAGAAACTAACTACTCTGAGATAATAAATAATTACTGTGTTAAGCCATTAGGTTTTGGTGTAATTTGTTATACAGTAGATAATATATATATATGTAATATAACTATAAAATGGTATTTCCTTCCTATCCTGGTCACTGTCCCACTATACAGGGCAAACCTTCTGACAGCCACTTTATCCTGTGGGCTCAACTCAAACCCCTTAATGGTTCTCACTTAAGTTTTATTAGGCCATAACTCCTATACTTTTGAAGCCGTTGCTTTTTTGAGGGGGAAGGAGTTGTTTTAGCCTAAATACTGGACTGCACATTATTCACCATCTCATTTTATTTAGTCCATCATCTCAGCTTACCAAGACATTTCGAAATCCCAGTTGTCATTAAATCTCATTTTATGGAATACTAAGCCCAGGAGAGAAACAAGAAGGAGAGTCTCACGTACCAGAAGCAGAGAGAGAACTCAAAGTGATATGCATACTACCCGACATTGCAGCTATCTTGGGGAGAAAAATAGAACTTCTGATAGCTAGAAGCTTTTGTATGAACATTCCCTTAGGGACAGGAGATGAGGCCCAGGGCTTGAATGAGTTGGGGAGTTGCAACTCATATTTTCATATAAAGATGAAATCCATAAAGGGCTATATCCCCATGAAAAAGAGAGGACCAAAACAGTGCACTTAGTGGCCCAGAAGACTGTAGCGTACTTTATTCCTGATCTCGAATCTGGATAGAAGGGAGGAGTCTTCCAGATAAATGAGAACTGCAACCTAAGATTTTGGATTTAGATTACAAATTTCAATCATTCATGTGGTGCTAGAAGCTCCAGCTTAGAAACTCAACCTAAAAATTGGTCCTGGGCCAGTGGTATCTTGATGGTACCTGCTAGAAGTAAATTTGAAAGCTCTCCTCAGCAAATAAGTCACACAAAGATCCTGCAGCAAAAACAAGCCTTACTTAAAATGAATACATAATACTAAAAATAAAATTATAAGAATTAAAGGAATTAATCCACTATGAGTAAATATTAACAGATGTCAAAAATGGAGGTGAAATGATTTTTTCAGGCATAAAAAAATGAAGAGAACTCGTAGACCTGCACTAAAGGAAATGTTAAAGGAAGTTCTTCAGGAAGGAAGAAAATGAGGCCAAAGGAAAATAGGAATCTACTACACAAAAGGATGAAGAGTACCAGGCATGGTTACTACAAGATTTTTTTCTTGTTACTTAAATCTTATGAAGAGATAATTTGCTGTTTAACTAAAAATAATAATAAAGTAGCATGAGGGTCATAACGTGAAATTAAGATGTTCGACATCAGTAACTTAACAAAAGCCAAGACGTGGGGAGCAATGGAAGTAGACTATTCGTAAGACTCTTGCTCTGCACCTGAGGTGATGATCATCACTCGAAGGAAGACTGTGATAAGTTAAAGATGTAAACTCCTGGCCTTAAAGCAACCATAAAATAACAACTCAGAAAGTTACAATTAGTAAGCCAACCAAGGAGATAAAGTTGAATCATTAAAATCATTCTCAACACCCCCCCCCCAAAAAAAAGAGTAAGAGGAAAAAGAACACGTGGGAAAATGAAAAACAAATAGCAAGGTGATGGATTCAAACCTAACAGTTATCAATAATATTAAATGTCTGTAGTCTAAGGCCAATTAAAAGGCAGAGGCCATCAGATTTTTTAAAAAGATTTTATTTATTTATTCATGAAAGACACAGAGGCCATCAGATTGAGTGAATAAAGGAGACCCAAATATAAACCACCTAAGAAATGCACTTTATTTTTTTTTAAAAGATTTTATTTATTTACTCATGAGACAGAGAGAGAGAGAGAGAGACACAGAGACCCAGGCAGAAGGAGAAGCAGGCCCCACGCAGGGAGCCTGACGCGGGACTCGATCCCGGGTCCCCAGGATCACGCCCTGGGCTGAAGGCGGCGCTAAACCGCTGAGCCACCGGGGCTGCCCAAGAAATGCACTTTAAATATAAAGACATAAAGCAGTTACAAATAAAAGGGTAGCAAAAAATATTCCATGCAAACACTAGTCAGAAGAAGGCTGGAGTGGCTGTGCTCGTAGTAGTCAAAGCAGACTTCAGAGGAAAGAATATCCTCAGGGATAAGGGATTATATTGCCAGAGATTATTTCATAATGATTAGAGGGTCAGTCCTTGAGGAGGGCATAACTATCCTGAATGTTCAGCCTCTTAATAAGCATAAGCTTTGAAACATGTGAAGCAAAACCCAGCGAAACTGCACGAGGAGAAAGAGACACATCCTCAAATTTAGTCGGGAATTTTAGTACTCCTCTTAATAATTGATGGGATATGGAGCAATAATTGACAGAATAAGTAGGCAGAAATCAGTAAGGTATAAAAGGCTTGCACCGTATACAGCCAGCTTGCTCTCATTGACATCTGCAGAACGTTCCATTCAACTAAAGCAGGAGACACATTGTTTTCAACTTCACACGGAGCCTTTATCAAGGTAGACCACATTCTGGGCCATAAAATGGGTCTGAGTAAATCTGGAAGAATTCAGGTCATGCAAGGTGTGTTCTCTGGTCAAAAGGGTATTGAAGCAGGAGTCAATAACAGAAAGGTCTCTGGAAAATCCCCGATGTTAGGAAGCTGAACAACGACGGGCCGTCTGAATAATCCATGGGTCAAAGAAGAAGTCAAAATGGAAGTAACGTACCACACTCCATGGTACGCTGCTAACGTGGTACCTGAGGGGAAATGTAGAGCACTAAACCCCTACGTTAGAAGAGAGGAAAGGCCCCAAATCAGCGACCTTGGTTTCTACATCAAAAAAACAGAAACAGAAGAACAAGTAGGAACAGGAGCTAAGCAGAGAGAAGAGAGATCATAGCAGAAGTCCATAAAATAGAAAAACAGAAAATAAAGAAACATCAGTGACACCGAAAACTGTTGTGTTTTGAGAAGATAAATAAACGTGATAAACCTCTGGCCGGACTTAGCAGAACAATAAAAGAGAGAGAGAGAGAAGATGCAAGTTACCAGTATCAGGAACAAGGGAAGTGATACTATTAGAGATTGTGGGGACATTCAAGGATAATAAGGAATTTCGTGAACGACTTTATGCAAATAAATTTGACAATCTCAGTGAAAGGAATCTTTGGAAAGTAAAAATTGTGAAAGGTCATTCAGGAAGAAAGAGATAACCCTAATAACCTTGTATCTGCCAAAGAGATTGCTTTATAACTAAGACCTTCCCACAAAGAAAACCCCAGGTCCAGATGGCTTTACTGGTGAATTTTATCAGACATTTAAGGAAGAAATAATACAAACTCTCCACAAACTCTTTCAGAAAAAGACTTTCCAACTGATTTTTGAAGTCAGCATTACCTGATGCTAAAGGTAGGCAAAGACAAAACAAGAAAAGAAATGCACAGGCCAACCTTCCCCGTGAAAACAGATGCAGGGGCACCTGGGTGGCTCCGTGCCTGGGGCTCGGGGCGTGACCCCAGGGTCCCGGGATCGAGTCCCACGTCGGGCTGCCCACAGGGAGCCTGCTTCTCCCTCTGCCTGTGTCTCTGCCTCTCTCTCTGGATCTCTCATGAATAAATAAATAAATAAAATCTTAAAAAAAAAAAAAGAAAAGAAAGAAAGAAAGAACAGATGCAGAAACTCTAAGCGAACCTTTGGTAAATCGGATTCAGCAGTATCTACATCAGGACCAACCAAGGAGTATCCCAGGTTTACACGCAAAAGAAATGGAAGCGGGGATTCAAACCTATTTGCATACCATTGTGCATAACAGCGTCTTCCACGGGAGTCATAAAATTGGAAACAACCAAAATGTCCACGAATGGATGAGTGGTTAAAATATGGTGCATCAATAAAATGAATTATTTTTTAGCCACAAAAAAGGGATGCAGTATTGATACATGCTGCAGCATGGATGAACCTTGAAAACATGTTAAGTGAAAAAAACTAGACCTAAAGGACCACACTTTGTATGAATACATTTGCATGAAATGTCAAGAATAGGGGAGGGGCACCTGGGTGGCTCAGTTGGTTAAGCATCTGGCTTCAGGTCATGAACTTGGGGTCTTTAGTTGTGGGGTCGAGCCCCCATCAGGCTCCCTGCTCGGCAGGGAATCTGCTTCTCCCTCCCTCTCTGCACCCCCCTTGTGCAGTCTCTCCATCTCTAATAAACAAATAATCTTCAAAAAAAGAATAGAGGAATTCATCGAGACGGAGCATAACTAGTGGTCGCCCAGGGATAGGGGAAGGGGAGTGGGGATGTGGGTTTCTTTTTGGGGTGACGAAAATGTTCTCTAAATGGAACATTTTTTGCATGACGATTGTACGACACTGTGAATATACGAGAAACCACTGAATTCTACTCTCTAAGATGGTTTAAATGGTAACTCTTCCCTCAACAAACATTTAAAAAAAAAAAACAATCAGTGATACGAAAACCGGAGACTTTACAAGAAAGGAAAACTGCAGACCAGTAACACTCACGAACTTAGATGTTGAGATCCTTTAAAAAATCCCAACAACATAAAGAAGCAAAAATCCAACAATATATAAAAGGAATTACACGCCCAAGACCGCGAGGGGAGTTATTCCAGATTCAACGTCTGAAAATCAGTATAATCCATCACATCGAAAGACTAAAATAAAACGATGTGATCCTATCCAGTGGCGCAGAGAAAGCGTTTGATGAACTCGGACACACTCGTGGTAAGAACTCTGAGCCAGCTACGGGGTGAACTTCCTCGCCTTGGTAAACAGCCACGACATCCTACAGCTGACTGGGGGCCTAGTTGTGAGAAGCAAGATGCTGTCCCCGCGCCGCCAGCATCCCCAGTGGACACGCGTCGCCAGGCTGCAGCCCAGGTTCCTGGACTTCCTGGTGCGTGTGTACCGTGAGCGGCTTTCCTTGGAGTCCGAGAGCTGCGTCCCCGTAGGAGCGTGCGCCCCGCGCCCGGGGATTCGTTTCTGTTTCCTCGGGAGGCCGAGGCAGCCGCACACGAGGGCCAGCTTTGGCCGAGGGCCGAGGGCTGTAGGTCTAGCCTGGTCACCCGTCGATTGTGGGGTTTGGGGTGGGAAGTCACGCAGCTTTCGTGAGCCTCCCCCCCCCACGTGATGGCAGCCCGGAGGGCTCCCCGGCCCGGTCCTCGCGGCCGCTGCCCTCCCCTCGGACTCAGAGTGATGAGAAGGAGGGGCAGAGTGCTGGCGGCTGCTTTCCCCGGAGACCGACGCGGGAGACGCACCCTGCGGGAGGCCCTTCTTACCATCGTCGAAGAGGTGCAGTCGGACACGCGGTGTTCAGGACCTTCTCCAAGTCGTGTCTGCGGAGTTAAAGAAAACATTTTGATCCCGATGGCGGCTGATGGTCTGACGGGCACGGACCACAGAGAAGCCGTCGTGTTACTGCTCTGGGCCCCTCCTGCGTCCCCGCAGGGTCTCCGGCTTCAGCTCTCAGTGTCAGGCATGTGGCGGAATGGCTCGTCCTGCGGGTGCTCGCCGGGGACCGCTGGTGAGGTGGCCAGGGCAGAGGGGCCAGCCTGCAGCCGGGTTGGTCTGCGACGTGAAGACGCCACCCACGTTTGCAGGGTCATCGCGGTGACTGAGTGAAAGAACCTGTCTCCGTGCTTGGCTCCTGTTCGACCCTCGGGAATCGGCTACTGTCCGTAGAGCTGCACCGGCCCATCCGCACTGACTTCATCTTCATGGTCAAGTGGGAAACGGATGTGTTCTCGGTCACGTCATCACACTCCCGACGAGTCTGCTCTTGCCCACCAGACTGCCGGCTCCTGGGCGCAGGGCCACTGAGGTCTGGGCTCGAGGGAATCCACCGTAGGTCATTCCCCTCAGCTCTGTTCAGCGGCCGTGGACCCCCCACCTCACCCTCTAGAAGTGTAGGAGAAGGAAGCAACTTTTTATGCATTTTATCCGATAATTGGGAAGCCATCAGACGTTGGCCAGACTACTCGACTTCAGTGTGCCTCAGTTTACCCACATGTAAAATAGGGAGATAGAGTAGGTGACATGAACAGTCTCTTCTTTTAAAACAAAAAAAAAGATTTTTCACTTACTCATTTGAGAGCGAGCGAGCGAGTGCACATGCACAAGGGAGGGCACGAGCAGAGGGAGAGGGAGAGGCGGGGAGCCCGTGCGGGACTCATTCCCAGGCCCCCGGGACCATGACCCGAGCCGAAGGCAGACGCTCCCCCGACCGGGCCACCCGGCGCCCTGAACCGTTCCTTGTAACCAAGCCGCGTGGTGCGGTGACCTGCGGTGGCGCCCGTGTCGGAGCTGCCCGCCTTCCCACGGGCGTGTACTCGGGCGCCAGGGGCAGTTCGCCCTCCTCCCCTGCATGTGATCGCTAACAGCGAACTCCTGGGGCTGCGGGACCGTGCTGCGCCCGGAGGCCCAGGCCCCGTGGTGACGGGACAGTGGGTTGGGGCAGGCGGGAGGGCGGAGCCCGGGGAGCAGACGGGTGGTTCGAGACCTTGGGACCCTTGGGCCTGGCCCTCTCCGGGTGGGCCTCCGCCCCGCGCGAGCCCGTGCTCTGGGCCGTGCTGCTGAGGCCGGGCCTGGGCCGGGGGGCGGCGGGGGAGGGCCCTGTGCACCGCGCTCGCCCCCCTCCCCGTGCCCTCTGGGTTACTTTCTTGTCTCTTGGTTTTTAGCGCACCAGAGCAGAGTGACGATGATCCTGTTTGTCCTGGAGCTGGAGTGGGTGCTGAGCACCGGGCAGGACAAGCTGTTCGCCTGGCACTGCTCCGAGAGTGCGCGGCGCCTGGGAGGCTACCGCACCAGTGCCGTGGCCTCGGGCCTGCAGTATCCTTTGCTGGACAAAAATCCCCTGGTGGGAGCTTAGCTGGTGACTCCTCTGTCAGGAAAAGTTGGGGTATGTGCACCTCGAGGCACTGTGGCTGTGCGTGCGGAGCTGCCCTGCGGCTCAGGGTCTCGTTGACGCGACAAATGCACACGTCCCGGAGGGTCTTCCCGGAGGCGGATCAAGGGGGTGATTTCCCCTCAAGGAACAGATCCCGCGGGGCAGGTCGAGGAGTGGCTGTGACACAGGCCTGATGCCAGACGGGGCGCCGCCCGATGTGCGAGCCTCAGGCGTGGCGTCAGGAGCTCCGAACACGGAGATGAGAGTGGTTTCCGCGTGGACGGTAAGGCTGCGAGGAGCGCGAGGTGCCTGTGTGTCCCCCGGGTATTTCTGGAGAGGCCACCGGGCGGAACCCGACGAGGCCGGCTGGCATCCACAGGCGCGGTGCAGGCCCCCAGGAGGGGCGGGGATGCTGGCGGTGACCCCGCGGCCGGCACCTGCTCCACCCGCTGGTCCTCCCGTCTGGTCCTCCCGTCTGGCCGGCGGGGCTCCGGCAGGCACGATGCGGCGCCGCCACCACGGGGTGAGGAGTCACGGGCCTGGCTGCCGGTTTGCCAAGCAGAGAGCCCCTGTCCGCCGTCCGCCGAGCGAGTAGAGGGAATCTGCGGCCGCTGGTCAGCAGCAGGGGGAGGAAGGAGCGAGGTGGCTCTCGGGTGTTCGCTTCAGACTGCAGCGATTCTCCCAGCGACAGGGCTGTGCTGGGGCCTTGCAGACCGTAGCTGTGCGCGTGCGTGTGCGTGTGCGTGTGCGTGTGCGTGTGTGCACGTTAGCCCGGGCCACGGCCCTGTCCTCTCTCCTTTCCCGCCCTGGAAGAGCAAGATGAAGAAACGAAGACCGGCCGCCGTGGAAGGCTGTACAAGTGGCACGTTACCTCGCAGGCCAGAGACGGGGGGCGGGGGCGGGCGGGGGCCCCCAGCTGCCTCCGGGACGTGGTCACGTGGTCTGGCTGTTCGGAGGCTCCGGGTCCCTTGCGGAGGCCACTGGAGCCCAGCCTCGTGCCTGGGCGGAAACGCTTGGCCGCCGCGTGGGCAGATGCGGACTCCCTGCTGGCGTGGCCCGGGCCAGCGCCTCGTCCCCCGGCGGGCGGGCTGAGGCCACACGGGGCCGCGCCCTCGCCGCACCACCCAGCTGCAGAGTCGGCAGGTGTCCCCCCCCCCCGGGTCGCGGCCTCGGCCACCGTCCACCCCGTCACCCTTTCCCCCCCCCCACGGACCGCAGCGCCCAGCGGCCGCATCCTCATGCTTCGTACGCTGGCTTCCGTGTCACTAGCCATGCCAAGGACCCGGGAAACGGGCAGCTCTTGCCCTTAGGAAGTTCACTTTTTAAACCCCCTGAAAATGGACACAGGACAGCAGCGCCAGGGCCCAAGTCCTGAGCGGCGGCCTCTGGCTCCCCCGGCGTGGGCTGCGGGTTCCCAGCGGAGCCCTGTGGCGGGAGCCTCGAGCACCTGCGTGTGCCCGAAAGCGGCGGGCGGCGGGCAGTGTCGGGGGCCGTCGGCCTGGCCCCGGCCGCGTGGAGCCGCGTGTGTGCGCAGGGGCAGCCCCTCCCGGAGGCCCACGGCCCAGGTCTGCCGGGCCCTCCCCCGGCCTGGGAACGGCCCCCCTGTCCCTGTCTCCCGGGCCCCTTCCCGGCGCTGCGGGAGCGGGTGGCGTCCCCGGGCCGGGGCCTCCTGGGAGCTGTCACAGCCTAACGTGCCCGGGCGATGTGGCGCTCACACGAAAGTCCAGTTTTTATTTTTGTTTTGTTTTTATTTTTTTAGATCTTACTGGAACTCAGTTTGCCGACACACAGTACAGCCCCTGGTGTTCATCTCACCGTGTGCCCTCCTCGGTGGCCGTCACCCGGTGACCCCATCCCACCGCCCCCCCCGTTCTGCCTCCCTTTGTTTGTTAAACCCGTTTCTTCATGGGAACCCTCTGCGTCGTGTCTTTCCTCTTTTTTCTGCCACTTTCCATACTTACAGGTTTTTTAAGGGAAGGTGTTTGAATGACACCAGTTTCTCTTCCTAGTGGACGCTGGCGGCGTCACACACACGACGCGGCCTGAGACGATCCACCTCTCCCATCTCCATCTCGAACCGTCGTTCATCCAAGTCAGTGATGCAGGGAATCCGGCCTTTTTTCCTCTTCGCTCGGGTCTCGAACGGGAGAAGTTCGTGTGCTGTGAAAATAGCCAAAATTGAAGTAGAGAGAGAGAGAGAGGAAGACCAAGGGACTGACGCTTCAAAGATTTGATTTCCAAACAACCTCAAAGTCTTTGGTTGCTGTGGCTAAAGGTCTGAAGCTTCAGGGCGAAGTGGGCGACAGCACTGAGCAGTAATCGGCGGACGGGGAGGGGGAGACGGGGCCTCCACTCGCAGCTCCCGAGGGTCCTGTCCGGGGCTTCTCCGCTCACTGTGGGGACGATAATTAGAGGTAAAAACAAAAAGACCACGTTGTCCGTTTTCACAGTGTGGGAAGCAAGGCCTGGGAAGGTGAAGGGACCCTCTCCAGGTCACAGCCGCGCCGCCCTGGGGTGCGGGGGTTTCCCAACGCTCGCCCCGCGGGTGGATGTTAGGAAATAGACCCGATTTCCCTCCCCGCTTCACGGGCCAGTATTTAAATTTGTGACCACTTCGGCCTCCCCTTTCGGTCTTGTCACGTGACCGTGTTTCCATCCCGTTTCTCCTGCTTCTGCACAGTCTACGTAGTCCTCGTTTTAAGCCGTTATTCACATTCAAGATATTTCCAAGACGTCCCCCTGCCTAGTACAAGGTCTTTTCACCAAGACGTCTCTCAGACGTGCTCAGGTTCAGGGCAGGAGTACTGGAAGGCTATTCAGATTATCTTGACTTCTCCGTTTCCTCATCTCACCCTTAATGCCGATCACTCTGGCTTTGAGGCTGTATGATTTTCTCTCCGCTCTCTTTCAAATAGCTCTTGTTTGCATCTGTACTTTTTTAGGAGAACACTACTACTTACCTGCCATCATAAAGGCTGGTCGGCGTCAGAGTGCATCTGTTTCTTCATCTGTGTTCTTAGAATTAATCTATAGGTGAACGTAGCAGGTGATCTCACTCCATGTAAAACTAGATACTGTTATGTGTGTCTGTATGTACATTTGACAGCTTGTTTGGAGGGCATGACTTCTCTGCTGTCCATGAGACTGAAGGAATTTGTGATGCCTTGTTCTCCTTTACTTCAAAAAAAAAAAGGTTTTATTATGAAAATGTTCAAAACATGCACCAAGTGGAGAAGAGGCTATAATGGATGCTCCCGTACCCATCAGACCCAGCGTCGGTTCTTCTGTCTTTCTGGCTCGCTCGCTCGCTCGCTCGCTCTCCCCCCTGGAGTATTCAGAAACAAATCTCAGACCTTATGTCATGTGATCCTTACGTGCTTCACCACGAAAGAACAGAGAACTTCTCGGCAATCACGATGCCATTATTACTCTTAAAAATGTATGACCGCTACGCGCTAGTGTGGAATGATCGATCCATTTTCACAGATATCACTTACTGGCTTTTTGCAGTGAGTCTGTTGAAATCGGGTCCAGATCCACTTCACACACTGAACAGGTTGTCACACCCGGAGTCCCTCCCCAGTCCGGAGCGGTGACCTCCTCCTCCTCCTTTCTGTGCGTCTGTACGGGGTCGGAGGCTCCGAGGCTGTGTTCCCAGGGGCAGCCCTGTTTCTACTGATCTCTCCGTCCTTGTGCTGCCGTTTCGCTGGTTCTACCTGCGCCTCTGCCATGTGTTCTTGGGAGCCGAGAGCTGCCTCTCGAGGTCTTGATTCAGTGCAGGGTCAGCTCCAGGTGAGCACCCTTGGTTGCCTCGCAGCAGGAGGCGCGTCGTGGCAGGTCGTCGCCCTTCCGGGGATGCCCAGCTTGATCCGTGTTGCAGGTGGTGACCGCCAGGGGCCTGCGGTGCCGGCCTCCGCATCAGCCCTGCATTTAGTCCTTTCCCCTGAACGGTTCTTTCACGGGGGTTGCAAAAATGCCAATTTTGTCATCATTTTCCCCCACATACGTTAGTTGGAACGCTTCCATACAGTGGACTTCCCCCTCATTAGCTTGAGCTACTTGGTTACCCTGAGCTACACTCAGTTTGGCAAAAGCAACGTAACTTCTGATTTCTCTTTAATTGCTCATTTTCCGAGTAGAGATTCAGCGCCCTGGTTACCTCCGATAGGTGTCTTTTTTTTTTTTTCTTTTTGAGCATTATTATAAACTCTGACTTTAAAAACAATACATTAGTAGATTTCAGGAACTTGCCTTTTTTGAATGCTAATATTGTCCCATCTTTGGCCAATAAGAGCCCCACCACATTGGCTCCAGTGTCTGGATGTGACCGCACTTGCCTTTGAGAGCTTCCTTGCTCTTTGGCGCGTCTGAAGCTTATCTCGTACCTTCCCGCCCCAGTCCTGAATCCGCCGTTTCCCTCAGGGAGCGGTGTTTCGAGCTAGCCAGGAAACATACGTGTGTGTATTCCTGAAAAGAAAATAAATCACTGACTGCTGTAACAAATTCAGATTTAACATAACAGGGTTCTAACGTCATCTTTGTATTTGATTCTTTTATCTTGGGCTGGAAATTATGGCTCCTGAAACGTCGACATACTCGTTTTATGTATGTTATGTTTAAGCTGTTCCAGAATAATAATCGCAGCATTATAGCAACAAGGCTACGGAGTGAGATTTCTCTGCAGTTCTTTTTGTCCTTAGAATATATCCTCCCAAGGATGGACAGCTGAAACGCCGTGTGTTAAAGTCACTCGAGGGATCCCTGGGTGGCGCAGCGGTTTGGTGCCTGCCTTTGGCCCGGGGCGCGATCCTGGAGACCCGGGATCGAATCCCACGTCGGGCTCCCGGTGCATGGAGCCTGCTTCTCCCTCTGCCTGTGTCTCTGCCTCTCTCTCTCTCTCTCTCTCTCTCTCACTGTGTGCCTATCATAAATAAATAAAATAAAAATTAAAAAAAAATAAAGTCACTCGAAATAATTCTGTTAACTACGGCTTTACCACCAACTCGATAGTTAGGTTCACTCACTTTACTTTGTTGTCACTTTGGGGGATTTTTTTCCCTTTAATTTTGTATGTGTTTTTAGTAAGTAAAATAATGACATGATTCCAGAGCTTCATTCTGTAAAATAAGCACACGCGTGCGGACACGCACACGCGCACACACGTTTCTGCTGCCCTCCCTTTCTCAGGCGAAGACCGTGTAGCTCATAAACTCGTAATGTACCTTGGCTGGTTTTCGCCACTTAATAATGTTGCCCCGGAAATTCCCCCACGATGGCGAGCTTATGAGCTTAGGATCTTTTCCCCCACTACCGCATGGATGTATCCTAGTTAATTCAGTAAGTCCCCTTTTGATGGAGGCCTTTTGTTGTTTTCAAGCTTGAGCCATCTAATAATACGGAGTGAAGAGCCTCAGGCATGCCCTCTGTCCTCCGGCCGGTGTATCTCTGGACAGATCTCCGGGTTCGCCAGGTGTCCTCAGCCGGGGAAGCCCCTATAGACTCCGGAGTGTGCCTCAGGCTTTCGCTGCAGGCTGGTCACGTAGGCAGCCTCTCTCTGACCCTCACCTGCACCGAAATTCCAGAGTAAGAGGAAAGCAGGTATCTGGCGTGAACCGTGTTATGTGGACAGCCCGGGCGGAGTGAGCCACTCGTCCGTCGAAGGCGGGACCCTCCTGGAATCCCGGTGGCCGGACACCACGTCAGCCCCGTGGGCGGCCTTCGTCCCAAGCCTGGCGGTCGGGCCCGTTTCTCACGTGCTCAGTCTTCACCTTCATTTCTTCCTGAACTGTGTGTTCATACGTGTTGCCCTTGGTCCTGTCCGGCCTCTGGTTGCTTTCCTCCTGATGGTTCTTTTTGTGTTAAGGGCCTGGGCCTTTTGTGACCTGGATTGCAGATATTTTTTCCAGTGTGTCTTTTGGCTTTGCTGATGGTGTGTGTTTGTTACTTACGTTTTTGAGTAGTAAGTAGCCTGTCCCACTCCAGGGTTATAAAGGACTCTCCCATCTAGAACTCAATAGTTGTCATGTTTTACGCTTAGATCCTTAATCCATTTGCAGTTTATCCTGATACAGAACGTGAAACACAGATCCTGTTTTGTTTTTCCAAATGCCTATCCAGTTTATGCCAACATTTTTTTTTTTTTTTTTTACCCCATCTCTTCCTTACTCATTTGAAGAGCCACCCTTATCAGACGTGCTCTGGGGTCTGTTTCTAGACCTGCCATCTCGTCCCACGGGCCCGTTTGTCTGTTTAGGCACCAACACCGCACTTCTAATCACAGAGATTTCGTGACGTGTTCCACTTCTAGTAGCGCTAACCTCCCCTGTCACATAGCATGATCGTTCTTATTTTCACAATGTTCCTGGCTCTTCTTTTTATTTTTTTATGTGGACTTGGACTTCCCTAGCCCTGGGGGGGGGGGGGAGAATGTTGATATGTTTATAGGAATCGTATTAAATTTGTAAGCTCATGTTGTAAGGAGTGACCTCATTCCCGCGTTGAGTCTTACCGTCCCATGGTACTGCATCTTTCACTTTGTTTTGTCTACTTTTTGTATCTTCCAGCGTTACGGCCAAGCTGTCTTCATACGAGATTTGCACGTTTCTTGGTTTCATTTATTTGTTTATGTAAATCCATCAATTCTGAGAAATGATCCTTAATGTTTACATGATAGATTTGATGTTGAAACCCGGCATGTGTTTATTGGTGACCAGTCAGGCCAAGTGACCATCCTCACACTGGAGCAAGACACCTGCACCCTGGTCACGGCATTCAGAGGACATACAGGTGGGCTTGGAAGCAGAACCTCCACGCGCCGCTCTCACAGGGACCTGTCACCTGCCGTGTGGTCTGGCATTAGGATCCGTGTTGTCAAAGCGACACAGAACGGTGTGCACGGACGCACGCCATACATTTAACCAATTCCGGAATGGCGCAGTAACATAGAATGTCAGAAATTGTCTGGAATTTTCAGTGCAGACAAAAGAGGAACCAGCCTCTTCTCAAAAGGTTGGAGATTTGGTTCTCTGTCACGTTGCACTGGAGGAAGCCAGTGTTGGCACATATGTGGATGAGACGTGGTTTGAGACCATGTGGCAACCGCACAAACCTCAGAAGGCCAAAAAGACAGCAGCCTCAGTCTGCCCTTTCCACCCTTGGGGTGAGAAGACGGTGTGCGAGACAGACTCCCCCGCTTCTCAGACAAGTGAAATAAAAAAAAAAAAAATGAGCTCATTGTGGGTAGCGAGGCTTCATAAAAAGGTCCAGTTCTTTTTTAACTTCCTTCTGGGCTCTTTTCAGTGTAAAACCCAAAGCCCCCTTTATTATTTAGGATTTGTTTGTTGGGGAGGGAGTAGGATCTGCTCAGGATCATGTAAGGAAGGTAACAAAAAACATCCATGCTTAGCCTCTGAAACACTGGAATAGATGATAATGACTCGTTTTTACTAGTGTGTTTAATATGTGATGTTGACCCTGGGAAATGAGCCACTGCCTGTTTTCATGGTTCTTAATGGGCTTTTTATGTCTCCCACAGATTACCGGCCTATGATTTAGGACAGAGCAAGGTTCATACTGAGTTTAGGTGGCTTATAAGAGCATAAGTAGGTGAATCAGGATGTAAAATGGGTTAGTACCTAGACCATGAGGGATTTCCTCAAGGGGAAGAAAGGAATGCAGTAAAGAGGAAATTGAATGCAGCGGAAAGGGGTCCTAAAAGATCATCCCAATTATCTATGTTTTCTGGGAAGAAGAACACATAGAAGCTTCCCCTGTAGACAGGACCCAGGTCTTTCCCGATTGGATTTCTCTTCTTAGCCACCGACACCCCCGCGAAGCCTGGCCTGGGAGGGACCCAGAACTGTCCACGTCAGGAGCCTGGCACTTCTGCGTTTCTCTGCTCACGCGAGTCTCCTCGTCTTTCAGTTTTTTGAATCCTGCCTCCAGCTCCGTTTGCTCTTGTCTTTGTTGACCAGTCGGTCCCTGATCCTTCATCCCCCGTCTGCGCTTGGTGGTCAGTCTGCTTGAGATTCTCTCCTTCCCTCCCCTCCGCCCTTCCCCCCCCCACTCTCTCTAAAATAAATAAATCTTCTAAAAAAATATTCTTTTGGGGCCCCGGGGTGGCTCAGTGGTTGAGTATCTGCCTTTGGCTCAGGGCGTGATCCTGGGGTCCTGGGATCGAGTCCCACGTCGGGCTCCCCGCATGGAGCCTGCTTCTCCCTCTGCCTGGGTCCCTGCCTCCCTCTCTCTGTCTCATGAATAAGTAAATCTTTAAAAAAAATACAGTCTTTTTCTTGCCCCCCCCCCCAGTCTTCCCCAACAAACAAACTTTCTCTCTCCTGCCTCTCAGGGGAGTCCCCAGGGCTGATTCTCCTGGGATCTGCACATCCAAGCTACGCCCTTTGTCTCCCTTTTGACTAACTCCCTCTTCTCAATGCATTAACATGCATAAGCGTCTCCGCTTTCTGTTCAACAAACAGACCCCTCTCCATCCTGGGTCCTGTTGTAGCAGTTTTCGTCTTATTCTCTTAGTAGCGGTGCTTTTTTTCTTTTTTTAAATCACAGTACAATGTACAGAAAGAAAATTCACCATTTTAATCATCTTTAAGCATGTGGCTCAGGGGCCTCCAGGACACTCAGATCACCACCATCCGTCTACACATCTCTGACGTGTCAGACTGAAGCTCGGCCCCCATCAAGCCCTGAGTCCCACTCGCCTCCCCCGGCCCCTGGCAACCCCCGGTCTCCTGCCTGTCTCGGACTTGGCCTGCTCGGGGCACCTCGCAGTCGGGGGAGCGCAGTCGGCTGGCTCCCTTCAATGGGCGTAATTTCTTCGTGTCCTAGCAAACAGCACAGCCTCTTCAAGGAGTATCTCTTGCCAGCTGCTGCGACGTCTTCGCCTGTCGTTTGCCCTCGTCCCGCCCGCAGTGTGGCTTGTCTGCTGCTCCACGGTGGCCAGGGACCCGCTGGTTGCCAGATCCTCTGTCGTGCTTCACCTTTCCGCCGCGTTTCACAACGTGGCCACTCCTGGCTTGTAGCAGCCCTCCCTTTGGCTTCCGTGACACATTCTCTTCTAGTTTTCTTTTCTTTTGAAGTCTTTATTTATTGGAGAGAGGGAGACAGAGAGGGAGGGAGAACGTGCACAAGCAGGGGGAGCAGCAGAGGCAGAGGGAGAAGCAGACCCCGCTGAGCAGGGAGCCCGACGTGGACTCGATCCCGGGACCCCAGGATCACCCCGTGAGCTGAAGGCAGACTCTCGACCCCTGAGCCCCCCCCCCCCCCCCGCCGGGCGCCCCAGTCTCTCCCAGTTTTCTTCTGCTTCTCTCGCTGCTCGTTGCCATCTCCTTAGGAATCTCCCTTGTGAGCTGTGCCCGGACCCTGGTCTCTCTACTCCTGGCTCTCCCTGGTTGGCCTCAGCCACGACTCCTGTCATACCAACAACAGGTACAGTGTCCTCAGATCCTCCCCAGCCCCGTGAGACACACAAGCTAAGGAGCGAGGCGGTGGCGGGGTGCAGGCCCGGGCACCTCCAGGAACGCCGAGCGGGCCAGGAGGGCCTTCCCAGCACAGGTGTTGCTTGACTGAAGATATTTGGGAAGGAAGGAGTGTTGAGTTCACAAAACAGCAGTAGTCCAAGGCGTGGAGATCTGCAAAATGTCTTTCTTGGGGACTCTGGGACCCCGTGTGGCTGGCACGCCGAGCACGAGGTGGCGGGCAGCCCGAGCGGACGGGAGACGCCGTCTGGATCGCTGACGATCCAGGCATTAGCCTGACGTCAGTGAGAAACCAAGAAAGCCTTCTAAGCAAGGACGCCAACCTGGTCAGAATTTAAAAGATGGTTCTGGCCCCGCATGGAGAGCGCAGTGGGCCAGCCGCCAGGAAGCCGTCCTCACCCCCCCGGAGTGCCGCGCAAGGGCGAGCCAGGGGTGGGCCGACGGGCAAGGGGCGCCCGCACGGGGCGGCAGCGGGCCCTTCGGTGGGGCTCCACAGCACGCGGCCCTCCCCGGGTGGCCCATGCCCCCCCCCCGCAGCCCTCTGTTGCTGCCCCGAGCCCAGGGAGCCGTGGGCAGCCGCATGGCCCCGGGGCTTCCTGTCGCCCGGGTTGGTTCTCACATGCAGTGTCCCCTTGGCGTCCTGCCTTCATCTCTCTCAGAGCTTAAAGCCTTCTCCTGGCCTTATCATGAAGTATCTATGAGGAAGCGCGGACATGGCCCCAGAACGTCACTAACCAGCACGGAGGCCAGCGCAGCAGGCCCCACACGGAGTGTACGGCCCCTTCCCTGGCCGGTAGGATGGGCCCCTCGCCAGTCTGGCTACCGCCCCGCTCGTCCGTCCGTCGCCTGAGCAGGGATGTCTACGGGACCAGGCTGGTGCAAACCTGCCGTTGACTCATCCCCTCCTGGGCCCTGAGAGGCCCCAAACTCTGGGCAAAGGGGTTTGCTAAGGGCTAATCTCCTCGTTCCCTTAGCCCCGAAAGAAGACCTTACGATGAACGCAGATCCGCTCAAGAGTGACGCTGGGGGTCTCATCAGCCGGACCGAGCGCCGGGGCACAGCGTCCTGGGTGCAGAGTCCCAGCCATTCACCCCTCAGCCCGGTACCGTACAGGCCTCGTAAAATGTGGGTTAGTGATGATGGAATTGGCCTAGTACCAGAGGCCAGCAGAGCATTTGCTAATCCACGGGGACCTCGGAAACTAGTTTTATGTTCCTGTGCTCCCTCTGCTGGTTTTATTTCTGCAATATCGGAGTTCTTTGCTATTTCCGCAGAAATTAGAATGTATTTCTACCAAGAAGTCATGCTGACTTGAACAAAGTGGGGGAGAATCAGCTTCTAACCACTGGAAATTCACGGTATCAGTGGAGTTATTTTTCCTTTTTATTTCTAAGGATCACTTTGGTTGCATGAACATAGTAGAAACAGGAGGACTTGAACGTAGATGCCAGAGCACGCGACTGGACAAAACGTTAAATACTAAAGACTTGTTCATTAACTGTTAGGGGAACCACTGAGGGTGACAGTGTCACCGTAATACAAATAGCCAAGGCAAGGAGAGGCACCGCTGAGTGCGCATACGCAGGTCCGCATCACTGAGCTGCAGGCTTGATCTTTGTGCACAGGGGAGGCTTTCACGTCTGGTAGACCCGGATCTTCTGGAGCTCGCCCGGTCCTTAGCCCTGGGGTGATGAGTGCTGGGCCCGAGGGCTGGGCCGGACAAGCCTGACGCCCGCCGCCTGGGCCTCAGGTCCGGGGTGCGGCGGCTGAGCCGGTGCGTGCAGGCGGTGCCCCAGATGTTGGCGGCGCAGGCACTGGGCAGGCAGGGCCACGTGAGGCTGCCTCGGAGCAGGTGACAGGAGGGCCCTGACCCGAGAAGTAAGGGGGGCCCCCGGGGAAGCGGTGTTTAAACAGGCCTTAAAGAGAAGAAGGAGCCCCCCAGGCGGTGAGACCCCTGCAGGCGCAGTGGGTGGCCTGGGCCCGCAGCCTGGACGGGGCCCCCCGGGGGGCGGTGGAGCAGGCCCAGAGCTCAGGCTCACCTTGCGGGTGCGGGGAGGAGCTCCCGACGTTGTCCTGGGGGGCGGGGGGGTGTGTGTGCTGGGGACAGGAAGGGCCCCGGGGAGACCATGGCAGGGCAGCCAGGGGGAGGTGGGGGGGCGTGCTGGGGTCGGGGAAGGGACATGAGGGGTGTGCTGGGGTCAGGTAGGGCTGTGGGAGGCAGGGGGGTGCAGCCAGGGGAGGTGGGGGGCGTGCTGGGGTCGGGGAAGGGACGTGAGGGGTGTGCTGGGGTCAGGT